ATTCTTTTCAAATAGTTTATTTATGTCAGGTTTATGTAAGAAATGAAATCCCTCTGTAATATAGTGGCTATGAATCTCAGCTAGCTCTTGCAGCTTTACAGTTACTTTAGCATTTCAGCTCAGATGTTTCAAAAGTTTGCATCATATATTTATGTGATCTGGAAGTGATTCGTTTGACAAAATTACTTTGATGCACATAATAACTTTAGGTTCAACTGAGCTTCTGAAATTCAAACTGCTGTCAAGCTGTATTCTCTGTCGGATGCGAGATTAACGTTGCTGATTTCTGTTCATTACCACAGACACACACACAAAAAAAATGTGAGCAACAACTGTCAACATAATGTTTTGCTGCTGATGTGTTTTAATTAATGCGCATGAGGTAGCAGTTCACACTCATAGACTAATTGCAAAGTTAACCTCGGTGAGGACTGCAGAGCTGGCTGATCTATCCCGGTTTCGAGCTCATTATAAGTCACGCTGAGCTCTTGGTGTTTCCCGTAGGTGGTTCATCTCGACAAGGAGGAAGAAATGCAGAAGCTTCCTCTTCAGCCTCCTTATTACGACATGGCACCCTCTGAGTCGACCCCCTTCACCGATAAGCCGGTGAGTACTGATGCCATGAGCCGAGTCACGTGAGCTTCACTATGGAGGGGTCATCCACAGCTGCTGCCTTTGGTCAGTAGTAACTGCTGCTGAAAGGGTGAATATTTGCTGAGGTTCTGCTTGATGGTATTGTAGAACTGATTTACAATGAACGGCGCTTCTGTACAGTCACTGAGGAGCTTTCATTTTTGCTTGTCTGGTGTTATGAGTAGATGCTGACCAGTAAATCCACTGGGCGGTTTGACTAAGCTTCTTATCTCATCATCAAAATCAGCACCTCTCATCTTCTATGTAAACCTGGCCAGCCGCCATCCTCTCTCTTTCTCTCTCTGTGGACGATTTCATGTTCTGACCCCGACGGCCTGCCCTCTGCCTCACCTCCCCTACTCTTCCTCTAATCCATCGTAATTACTTGTGGGTTTGCCAGGCAACCGTCTGCAGATACGTTACAGTGTGGTGCTCCACAGTACATCATCACCCCTGAGTCTTAACTGTTGACTATGAAATGTTTGATTTGTTGTATCAGATGCCTCTGCTAACTGTGGGGAAACCTCCCTCAGTAGCACAGATGCTTGAGAGCACTGAGGGCTTTATTTGCTTTGGCAGCATTTCTTTCTGAGATGAATTTAAAAAACAACAACCAGGATTTTAGACAATTTGTGTGGATGTGCAAGCTTCTGCATGTTGTGTGTGCTGGCTGAAAACAAAATCATTTTCACTGTGTCTCTTGGTAATGTGAACATTTGTAACCACACAATAGCAAAGTTTCTTTCTTTCGTCAGTCTCAGTTTTACTTATTTGGTAAGCAGTGTCGTGCAAAATGCAACTTGCTCAAATGCGTAACAACACGTAGGTATCAACTGTATCTTAATGAGATCAACTTATCGCTCCTTAGTTTTATGCCAATATTCCTTCACAAATCCAGAACCATTTGGAAAGTTATTTTAAATTTTGATAATTAAAGGTTAAGCTGATATGTTGACTTAAGCCAGGTTGTATGTGTTACCCTTGTGCATGCAATGTTGCCAACTCCTCAGTAAGGAAAATCGCTATTGGTTGTCCTAAA